TATAAAAGCTATCTACACTAAGCCTCAGGCCAGCATCATTCTAAACAGAGAAAAATTGAAGGCATTCCCTCTAAAATATAGGACAGGGATGCCCTCTCTCACCGCTTCTATTCAACATAGTAGTGGAAGCACTAGCCAGAGCAATCAGACAGATGAAAGAAATTAAAGGTATAACTATAGGAAAAGAAGAACTTAAACTAGCACTATTTGCTGATGATATGATCCTATACATAGCAGACCCAAAAGGTTCTACCAAGAAACTTCTAGAACTAGTAAATGAATTCAGCAAAGTGGCAGGATATAAAATCAACACCCATAAATCAAAGGCATCCTGTATATCAGTGACAAATCCCCTGAAATGGAAATGAGTAAAACTACCCCACTCACAATATTCTCAAAAAAATTAAAATACTTGGGAATCAAATTAACAAAAGAGGTGAAAGATCTATACAATGAAAACTATAGAACCTTAAAGAGAGAAACAGAAGAAAACCTTAGAAGATGGAAAGATATACCTTGTTCATGGATAGGCAGAATTAATATTATTAAAATGGCCATATTACCGAAAGCACTTTACAGATTCAATGTGATTCCGATCAAAATCCCAATGGCATTCCTCACAGAAATAGATAAAGCAATTGTGAAATTCATCTGTAAAAATAAGAGACCCAGAATAGCTAAAGCAATTCTAAGCAGGAAGAGTGAAACAGGTTGTATCACTATACCAGATCTTAAATTATATTACAGAGCAATAGTTAAAAAAAAAAAAAAAAAAAAAAAACAGCATGGTACTGGCACCAAAACAGGCGGGTAGACCAATGGTAGAGAATAGAGGACACAGAGGCTAACCCACAAAATTACAACTACCTTATATAGACAAAGGTGCTAAAAACATGCAATGGAGGAAGGATAGCATCTTCAACAAATGGTGCTGGGAGAACTGGAAATCCATATGCAACAAAATGAAACTGAATCCCTTTCTCTCACCATGCACAAAAGTTAACTCAAAATGGATCAAGGATCTAGGAATCAAACCAGAGACTCTGTGTCTAATAGAAGAAAAATTTGGCCCTCATCTCCATCATGTGGGGTTAGGCCCCAAGTTCCTTAATAAGACAGCTATAGCACAAGAATTAAAACCAAGAATCAACAAATGGGACAAATTCAAACTGAGAAGCTTTTTCTCAGCAGGAGAAATAATATGTGAGGTGAATACGGAGCCTACATCCTGGGAACAAATTTTTACCCCTTATACATCAGATAGAGCTCTAATCTCTAGGATACACAAAGAACTCAAAAAGTTAAACACCAAAAACAAAAAACAAATAATCCAATCAACAAATGGGCCAAGGACCTGAACAATCAATCAATGAATACACGAAAAAATGCTCACCATCTCTAGCAATCAGAGAAATGCAAATTAAAACTACTTTAAGATACCATCTCATTCCAGTAAGAATGGCAGCCATTATGAAGTCAAACAACAACAAGTGCTGGTGAGGATGCGGTAGGGAAAATGTACACTCATACATTGCTGGTGGGACTGCAAATTGGTGCAGCCAATTTGGAAAGCAGTATGGAGATTCCTTCGAAAGCTTGGAATGGAACCACCATTTGACACAACTATTCCCCTTCTCAGACTATACCCAAAAGACCTAAAAACAGCATACTACAGGGACACAGCCACATCAATGTTTATAGCAGCACAATTCACAATAGCTAGACTGTGGAAGCAACCTAGATGCCCTTGAATTGATGAATGGATAAAAAAGATATGGCATTTATACACAATGGAATATTATTCAGCACTAAAAAAATAATAAGATCATGGCATTTGCAGGGAAATGGATGGCATTAGAGCAGATTATGCTAAGTGAAGCTAGCCAATCCCTAAAAAATAAGTACCAAATGTCTTCTCTGATATAAAGTGGGAGACTCAAAATGGGGGAGAGAGGAAGAGCATGAGGAAAATATTACCTCTAGATAGGGAAGAGAGGTGGGAGGGAAAGGGAGGGAGAAGGGGAATTGCATGGAAGATGGAAGGAGACCCTGTTCATTATACAGAGTACATGTATGACGATGTGAGGAGAAAAAAAAAAGGAGTGTGTCACATTAGATTGGGTAGAGAGAAGTGATAGGAGGGGAGGGGAGGGGAAGGGGGGATAGGAAGGACAGCAGCATAAAATAGACATTATTATTGCTGTGTGTATATAGGTGACTGCATGAGCAATGTGATTCTGAACCTGTACACTCAGAAAAATGAGAAATTAAATCCCATCTAATTCAAATGTAAAAAAATAAAATTAAATTAAAAATAAGTTGTTCAGTGAGAAAAAACAAACAACTCTTTTGCTCCTGAAAGCCTGGGGCTGCTGGGAGAAGCCAAGGCTAATGTCCAATTTGGGAAAGAACTGCCGTCTCTTAGCCATGGCTGTCAGGGAACACGGAAGCTCTGTGTCCATATCCTGAGGGTCTCTGCTCCCCTGTGGCATGAAACATCACGGCCCCAGAAAGAAAGAACTGGGTCACATCCCTGCCACCAACTATCACAAACAGTGCACAACACTGGTGGGTTCCCTTCACAAAGGACACCACACCATAGCCCTGAAAGTCCAGTGCAAGTAAGGACAGTGGAGGCGGGGTACAAAGTCCTGTCATGGGGCGTTCACCTAGCATTCTTGAGGCCTGGGGCTTCCGTGTGATCTTCCCTCAATCCCCCACCCCCAGAGCAGACACAAGAAAAGAAAAAGACTTGGTCGTCAGGCAGTCAGCCTGGGTCTATAGGGAAAGCGACCTGGAATTCAAATGGCTTTCAATGGAGAAGTCGCTGGACCATGATTCATGCAACAAAATAGCTGTTGATTTTATAGATTCGATCTCAGATAGAAAGAAAATGATTACTAATTTGCTAAAAAGAATGTTACTGAGAGGAATACATAATCTTTTTTTCCCCCTGGAACTTGTCTCCATATCTATTTCTTTCTATACTGATGGAATATTTTAAAGAAATTCATAATAGAGGGGAGGAATCCTGAACCACCCAGCTCAGTCCATTATCACCTTGTAGCCAATTTTATTTCATCTTTGACTCATTTACTCTTCCCGAAATCCTGTCATTTTGCCCACACATACTTCAACATATTTTCCTCAATGTGGCCTCTTTCAAAAAGTATATTTAAAATTCCATTATCAGAGCTTTAAAAATTGCATAGCCAAGCCCAGCCATTGGTACATTCCTGTAATCCCAGCAAGTCTAGCAGCTGAGGCAGGAAGATTGCAAGTTCATCACCAGCCTCAGCAACTTCGTGAGACCCTTTCTCAAAAGAAAATATAAAAATTGGCTGGGGATGTGACTCAGTGGCTCACCACCTCTGGGTTCAATCCCCAGCATGAAAAAGTAAAGTAAAAATTTGCTTAGGCAGTCATTAAGAAATTTGACCATTTCTGTTTAATGCATAAGTTTGTACTCATGCTTTCAATAGTGAACACTCATTTTAGCCTATACAGAAGAGAGGGAGTTTTACAGGGCACCCACCAATAGACACATGCAATGAACAAAAGGAAGCAGAAGAGGAGAAAAAGAAATCTTCCAGGTTCCTTGTATATGCTTTTTCTAGTTCAAAGTGTACTTGTTTTGCATTTATAAACTAAGAAGTTAAAGTGATAGATAGATAGATATAGATATAGATATATATTCAGTGTGATCTCAAACACATTTCAAAGCAGTCTGAGAATAAATAAGTAAAATAATAATTTACTTAATTATAGATGGAGAGAGTATGGGTGATCTTTTTCTTTTTCAAAGCAATTTTCCAACATTCTAAATTCAGTTAAACTCTTCCTCCTTTGTTGTGAGGGTTGCCACACATGTGCTCTACAACTGAGCAACAGCCTTTTTTAAAATTTTGAAACATGGCCCCACTATGTTAGCAAGCTAGCCTCAAACTTCTGATCCTCCTGCCTCATATACCTCTGAATAGTATAATGTATACTTTATAATGAATCCTGCCTTTCTTTTGAAATAAAAAATTGTATTAAAGAATTCAAGAAGGTGAAAAAATTAGGAAACTGTATTTTATGTAAGCAAAAAAAAAATGGTAACACCATGCCCAGGAGACATAGCCATTGCTCCGGAGAGGCACGGCTGCTGCTGAGAAAGCTCAGGGAGACTTGAAGTCAGGAGAAGGGGAAACGGTGGCATGTATAGAATCACTGTGCTAATGCTCAGGAGTCAATGCCTTGCACAGCCCTCCAAACCAGTGTGCAAACTCCATAATGAGGGTGGAGATCAGTACTCCTGAGAAATGCCCCAGGTCCACACAGAAGACAGGTCTGAGAGAAGCCTTTATAGTGTTTCCAACAGCACTTCTGAAAATGTGGTCTTCTTTCCACCCCATCAAGATTTGTAAAAAAAATGCAGTTTCTGGGTACTTTTGAAGGGCAGACGATATGCTACATGGACCCACCTGGTTTTGGTGGTTTACCCCTGCATCCCTAGTTATTTGTCATAGCTAAAAGCCTCATCAGATCTGTTATGGCTTTTAAATCTCTCCCATTAAAAGGTTTGGTCTTCCCAGGACTCCCACTAGGGGAGAACCTAGGAGGGTTTCCCACCCAAAAAATCCACTATCCCACTGGCCTGCCCAATGGTGCAGAATATAATTTTGTATTCTGCATTTTCAATCCTTTATTAAAGTGCTTTTATAGTTCTCATTTGGTCTTGAACATAACCATGAGTGATCAGTAACATTAAGGAACAGCAGCAGTGAACTGTCTCTGACAGGTGCTGGTTCATGCAGGCACTTCTTAGAACCAGCTGGATCCCCACTAACACCAAGGATGGGGGCCAAACTGGGTGGCCTAAGTCCCCTAGCAACAACCCACATGCAGGGCTCTTAGTGGCTTTGACATTCTCCTCCTCCTCCTCCTCCTCCTC